TGTCATGCTCACTCTGAAACTCCCATGAGAATAACTTGCCGGTAGGCTCTGTGGAGTAGTCAACAACCACCAGGAGAGGCTTGTCTACCGAATCGAACAGCGAGAACACTGAACGTTGCTGCTCTGTTGCCCTCCATTCCTCATAGGTGCCCCGCATCAATGCACCGCATGCTTTCAATGACAAAGCGGCGCATTTGGCCCTCACTCGTTCATGTCCAAGAACTTCAGCAATTGGCAGGGTTGACAGGACCATATGGCAAACGTGTAGCTTGCTGTTCCACGCGACCTTCCCAAGGAAAAGGACACTTCCCAATGGACTAGAAGCACCCAAAGACATCACAGAATTCAGGCTCCCTTTGTGAAGGCAAATAGTTGAAGACGGTAGAGGAGGGATTTCCTTCTTCATCACAGTCATGAAGTCTGAAGTGATGTCCTCATGAGGAAGTTCCTGGTTGGTACATCCACCCCGGTCCAAGACAGGAAAAAATTAGGATGACATGTATGTATATATGCATATCTATATATATATATATGCATATATTTTTGAATATATACACTCACATACACCCTGAACCCTTAAATGAATGTGGTGCAGCAACAACTGTACACTTAGAACACCACATCTACACCAACACACGCACAAAAAAAAATATAAAGCACGATGGAGCTTCGGAGGATCCATTTGGCTTCTCCTTATCCAAGCCCATTAGTTCTGTCAGTTCACCATTCTGCTGGCCCTCCACTGAAGAAGCAGCTTTGGCAAGCTTGACTGCCGGCGCCACAGCCTTCCCGGCTGTCCTCAAACCTTTGTCAAGCTCTCCTGCTTTGTGGGAGTGCAACATAGTCAGCAACCAATCTGTCGCTTGAGCCACAGTGTCAAAGTTCTTGACAATCATTGCATCCCCTGTATCAAAAGATGCCTTCAATCGCTTCCCCTGTGTGAGATCAGACACTAATGTGCTGTTCCCGTGCAAGAAGGTTGAGAAATCCAAACTCTTGACAATGGAGTCTTCAAGCTCTGCATTGAAGGTAGATTGCAATTTGTCCACCAGGCTGATCCTTTGAGCCGCAAGCGCACCCTTGCTTGGTAGGCCCTGACGTTTCATCCAAGACATGCGCTCTTCCTTCCAGGAAATGCACACTTAGAACATATGCACAACGTTATTTTTGTACAACATATATGATGTTGTATGATTGCAAATTGAAAAACAACATACATATGGATGTGAAGGCTTTGCACTTAGAACACACGTTTGTTTGTGGAGATTTAACTTATCGCCTTTGCCCCCTTTCCCTTCAAGGAATCAAAGTACTCGAGCATCTTTTTGAGCTTGTCCAAGCATGTTAGTGCTGCCTGCTTCGCAAGATCACGATTGGGGTATTCGGAGAAGAGGAACTTGCGGATGAAGGGATCCGTGGAACGCACCAAAAACCCATATTGGTGCTCCTGAACTCCTTCTGGAAGTTTCTCATGTTGTGCAGTGGATTGTGCCATCGCTCTTGGCTCTAAAGGATGATACAGTAAACAAATGTAAAACACATTGCATATGCCATGCGTATTGTGGAGGTATTGTGACATTGAGTATGTGTGTATGACGTGTGTATGCATCATCGGAGTAGCGTGTTCAAAGCCGAGAGTTGTGAACCAGCAGCAGGGCACACATGCTTAGAACATCCGATCACACTCCAAGTAGAAACACGATGCTTGCAATCCACACATGTTCTAAGTGCGTGGTTCTAAGTGTGTGTTTTTTTGTCCATGTTCTAAGTGTATGTTCTTACCTCTTGTTCTTAGTCTGATGCTTAGAACAAGCCAGAAATTTTTTTTTTTTCCAAATGATGTTCTAAGTGGTTGTCTAGCACTATAAATAGATAAGGCCTTATACGGGCATTTGCACGTCAAAAGGTGCGGTAATATTGGTACGGATTATAGAAGGAATATGATTTAAATATAATATTGAATAGTATTTCATGTTACGTCTAGCCAAGCTCATATTTGGACCGTGTTGGGCAGCGCACACACGTATGGAAATTTCAGAGAGCTTCAAAGCCTCGTACAGGTGCATTCAACTAGCTAAAGGTGTCAACCAGCGACTGTGTCCATTCATCATTGGATCTGGGAGCGAGTTTCTGTTGAGGTGCCAACTAAAAGAGGTAACAATCTTGTTTCAGCTCTTCATAAAGGCTTTTCCAGGGCAATCGGTTATTATCTGACAATCATACGTTTCCATTCGTCAGGAGACAACCTTGGTAATCCCCCGCATCAGGGACCGGCCCCAAATGCAATGTCAATCGGACAATGCGGTATTGAGCCCACTGCACTGTCAGAGCATGGGAGGCAACCAAAAAATGGCATCAAGACCTCAATCCATGGAAAATCAATCAAGATCTCATTCTTGCGGTGCAAGTCGGGAAATTTCTCAATCTGAAGGCGCGCCATGGGGTACTCGCACGTGAGCGCGGCTGTATATGGCGTTTGTTGGTGCCAATGATGGATTAAATATTGAAGGATGCATGTTTCTTGGTCAGGGCATCGAAGCAAAATGGGTACAAATATGGCGCCCTGATCCATTGGACCGTCTATTTTGCCATCCTTTTTGGATGATATCCCATGGAGATGCGCTCAAAAATTGCTCACGCAACCAATCAGCATATTCGGCAGCATCATGCTGTCTCCTCTACTGGTGACTGGCCTTCCAAGTGGCATGGAGAGAATGGAACCGCTCATCCATATTGAGGTCAGCCAAGGCAACAGAGTCACCCAGCAAAAATATCTCGATATGTTGACCCCATGGATCCCACCAAGAAGGGGTGAAGCAAAACGTTCTTGGCTTTCTACTCACGGCGAATTCAGGCTCCTCCACGGAAATAATTATTAGGGATGGATGGGCAAAAGACCCCGTTAGCCCAGCCCCTACCACATTCTCAGGTAGTTGGAGCCCCAAGGGAGTCCACAGCACTAAGCTAAAGAAGGAGGTTCCAACTCGCACTGAAGGATGGTCCAGAGGCGTGAGCTCGTCGCGTAGCTCCATCGTTGCCCGGATGGATGCTTGTGCCACTGAACCTTTCTGCGAAGGGATGCCAGTGGTTACTTGATCCAGAACCAGAGCCCTCCCAAAGCGCTGCTGCCAAAATTCAGACATTCAGACATTTAGCTAACAGATACGCCGTGCCCGAGTAGCACTGAACCCATTTGAAGCAGCCTTTGAAGCGTCCAGACTCCGCATGAAACCATCCCAGACAAGTCCCATTCTTCAAAACCATCACCCAGAAATGTGCATGCGTGGAAAATACGAAAACATATTCCAAAAGGCAGTGAGCTAGCATTTCACCCTGTAAGTCACCGCCTGAGCAAGCTGAGATCTCTGCAATATGGCTTGACGGATCCTCAGAAGAATCATCTGTCCAATCCCGTTGCCGCGCAGGGCTTAAAGAGCACCAAATAGCGGCTAAGCTCCGAGGATCGATTGGAGATATCCAATCGCCAGGGAATGGTGAGTTGCGAATCCTCTGGCACTCCGTTCTTCTCCAAGTGCCTCAGTGGCGAGAATCGGGGGATTAGCTCTGTGTTGGTGCCAAGCCGGCTAGGAGAGTCAGAATCTCTGTGATTCATTCTCTAGGCAGCGATTCCTGCTTGGGGGATCTCAAACACTTGGCTTATGCATCCCATGCAATTCCAGGCATTGTTCTCTGGGACCTTAAGGATCGATGGCCTGGTTGAATTCTTCCACCAATTTCCCAAATATCTCCTGTTTCAGCGGGCATGGGACACCGGCCTGCTACTGTTGGTGCCACTCCTAGGAGGCGAATAATATCATTGGCAGGATGGAACCTTTTCTGGCCTAAAGCAAAAGTTGCGGTCCAAATTCATCTAATTAAATATATTTTTCTATTCAGGCATAATTTGACCAATAATTCGATCAAAAGATCTACATCGGATTTCGAAAATAAATCCGAGGGATTGTATTGTTCCTTAAATCTATTCTTACCATTGTTCGCAATGGATTCGAATCCATCTTAGATATAAAAGCATTTGGTAACATAAAACCCAAATATATATAGTATCCAAAATGTATTTCCGGATAAAAAGCAAAAGATCTAAATAATTAAAACGAAATACAATTCATTATAAATTTAAATTCTAGTTATATTACAACGGAAGCCACATTAAATATAACGATAATCGGAAAGCAATATAAATAAAATCAATTTAGAATATATAAATAATTTCTAGTCGAAAATAAATATTATAAATATATTTCCCAATCGAAATGCTTAATCGATACAAAACATATTTTAAATATATATATATAAATGTAAATATAATTAAAATATTTATTCTTTTGTAATATTTTGTTTTTTTTTATATTATTAGTCGTAAAATTTATTTTTTATATTTCGTACAATAAATAAATAAATCGAACAAATTATAATTTATTTAATAAAATAATATAATATTAGGAACGATTAAATTATACAAATTAATAAATAATATAATTTAATAAACCAATTCTTTACGAAATATAACCATATATATATATCTCTTCATTAAAATATTTTTTATTATCGGAATTATCAATAACATATAATCTAAATTATCATCAATATTTAAATTTAAAATATAATCGAGAAATTCTTAAATTCAAAATATAATCTATCAAACATATTTTTTAATTTATAATAATAATATAATTAAATATTAAATATCTTAATATAATACAAAGACTATTTTCCACGGCCGAAACCAAAATTAACCAAATCTCTAATAAAATCCGAATAAATACATATCGAAATAAATCCTAATAATATATATGTTTAAATATATATATATATATTAACATATAACAATATTTAATATTATTATATATATATATATATTTATATTCAATTTTATTCAATATAATATACATAGAATTATTCATTTAAAAAAAATATATATTAAATTTAAATATATATATTCTATTGATTAATTATGTTTATTAATATAATAAATTTAATTTCTAGAAATGTCCAATGCATCCATTTGCATCCAATATCCTTGGTTCAAGATTGTGTTTAATATAAATATGAATAATTATATTGATTTATGGATTTATGGATTTATCCTTGTACAATATCAACAAATAATGCAAAATAATGTAATTGTCCAAAGCATAATCCAAGAAATCATTGCCAAAAGATTACGTCGCGCCTTGGCCTGGCCTTTTTTGTTTGAGAAACCCATTCACAGCTTTTGGCGTTGAGGCTTACAGGAGCGAGGCGCTGAAAAACTTCTCCTTGGAGCTTGGTATTGAGGAATGGCTGGGAGGACTCCCAGAGGTCCTGCGCAATGAATCTCCACCTGCCAAGGCCACAATTTCTCTCCGGCTCCAAAAAACAACTCAAAGTCCAATTCCGGCTTGACCAGCAAAATAATTAGATCCGTGAATATCTCATTGAGATAGCCTTCGCGCCCCATGTTTCAAACGTGCACCATAAAGAGAAGCATGGTCTTATCAACCCTTCAAAGAAGCGTCTGGTCACTTCTGGACGACTGCTCGCCAAAAGCCGTTCCTCCCGTCGCCTGAGCTCCGCGCTTCGCTGGGCGACAGCGCGGAAGAGTGCCCGAAGGTGGCTGCAGCGGCTCTGATGGGCCAGAAATCGCCTTGGGTCGATAGTGGCATGGGGTGGCATAGGGTGGCAGCAACGGTTGAAGAACCCGAACTAGACTATCCTATAGGTACTCCTGCAGGGTCCTTTCCAGGTAACTTGACCTCTGTAGGTGGCATGGTCGAGGCTAATGGATGGAGCGAGCGCATGGATGGGCTAAGTGTACCTCGACGTAAGGAAATGAAGAAGCAAATGGTCATATATAGTACCCCAAAGTGAGGAGGACCCTTCAGGAGCCTCCAGCAAGCCATTCGTCCCAAGGTCCATCCAACTCCGGATATCTCAATGCGTTGCCAGGGTTCTGCATGACATCCAGCAAGTACCTAATTACTGTAATACCCAGGGCCTAGGCGACAAAACGATAGATTGAGCAGCCGCTGTCTTTTTAGAGTCCAATGACTTTGGGTCCGGTCACTGCAGTACGTGCGCCAGGACGCTCTTCCACCAGCTCCCTTCAACAAAGCTTCACATCATTACAAATCCAGAGATGCATCAAACCGAGCAACTTGAGAACATCAGCGTGATCTTGACAGTTGTGCTTCACGAGCAAAATGCACCAGCGAGACAGCAGCTCCATGTTGGTGGAAAGGTCAAAGCCATAAGCTTTGCCCATGCGAATAATGCTCTCACGGTATATGCTAGTGCTCAGCAAGTCCAGAAAGTATAGTTTCTGAAGAATGCTCCACTTCACCTGCACAAGGCGTGCTTTTCTGATTGAAGTCTCCAACCCCCCAGCTCTTGAACAACTTTATGATGTTAAACGCGCATCCGTTCTGAACTTTGTTCGCTCGTCAGACATGAAGAAGGCAATCCTTCTGCTTTGTAGGGCGCAATGCAATTGGATAGAACCACTCTTGTTGGGCAACTGTGACCGGACACAAATCCAAACCACCCCTGGAATTTCTGGACTTGCTTTCCGGCTCCCAACTCAGCCCCACCTTCACATGGATGGAGGTACGGATGATGAGCTTGCTAACCTTCTCCTCACTTGCTCCGACCACTTCGGCTGGGACGATGTTCCTGACAAAAGAAACGAGGCCCGAGCTTCTAGCAGGAAAAAGCGACAATCGTTCAGCATGCAAGCATTCTCAAAAGGTGCCCGATCTTTTTGCAACCTGCCAAGTAAAAGAACCATAAAGAACCTTGAAGCATGTCGTGGTGGGGTGCCAAACTCCTAAACATCAACCAATGAGTTTACCTCCAACTTGTCTTGCCACTGGGGGCCGGAACAAACGAAACTGGAGTTCCTATCCCAGCTCGGACCCAGCATGAACCCCTGGGCCGATTGCACCAACGGCGCCATCCAACTACCAAACTGACACTATTGGGGGATGAGCACCCAGGTGAGCATCCAACTACCGTGGATGAATGTCCCCTGATCCTCCAGGTCCCCACCACTTCACCAGTTCACCTCACGGCCTCCAACCACGAACCCACCCACTGAAAGGCGCCAACGTGGAAGCCCAGTGTCTCCCAGGCTCGTGCCACCTGTCAGGCTCAAAGATCGAAGTGATTCTGAATCAAAGCGAACTCATCGATCGTGATTCAGTTCTGACTCTGACTCTGAACACGTGAAACAGTCAGAAGATTCATTCATCATTCGTTCGAGTCAGATTCATCTGCACCTCCGTGCGGGAGCTTGGGGGGCTCAAAGTGGTGCCCATGTTCACCGCCGGAGTCCGGTGGACCTTTCGAACTCTCTCCGAGTTGACATGCTTTGTGCCGGACCTCTGCGATCAAAAAGCACCTCTGCGAAAGGAGCTTACGGCACCCCCACGACTGAAGCCCAATTCCACCGATGGCAGTCTCGATGCCTTCTCCACTTCGGTGAAGACCGATTGGCCTGGGATTTAATCGAAAGGTGTATATATTCATATAGAGTTCGATTTCTGTAGCTTGTTTTGGCAGTCACCGGAGAATGAAGCCGAACAAGTCAGCAGCAAACACGTTCCTAGTGGCAAACTGTCCAGTCACTGAGCGCACTTACTCTCCTTGGAACTAACATTAACTAACATGGACGTGGACACCCTCCGTTTGTATAGGAAACTCATCTTCCATGGGAAGAAATGTTCCAATACAGGAACTAACAAATGAACTAACCATGGGAAGAATAGTTCTTGTTAGTTCCCATTTCCCATTTGTTCAAACATGTTGTCCACTTTCCACGTGTTCCGTTTTCGGGAGTCGCACAGTGGTCCCGGTCCGACACGTCGCACGCCGCACGTCCGACACGGCGGAGGTCGAAAAACACGTGGAGCGGACCAGGGTCAGACGAGCGGACCCGGTCACCCCAGTGCTTTGTTTTTCCATGGTTTTTTCAGCTGTCCACGTGAGTTTTAATTGTCCAAAGCTGTTGGGGTGTCCACCTCTATTCGGCATGATTCGGCTAGGCTATCTGGCTTTGCAGCTCCGCACGGTCTTCGTGGAAGTTTTGGAGGCACCAGGCTGCCTGGAGAGGATGCGACCAAGCAGCTGAGCTGCGAGGAGAAAGTTGTTGCAGGTCCGGCGAAGGATTCATCCTATCAACGATCTTCCCGGTTCGGTTCTGGACGTATCAATTCCAGATTGGTTCCATTATTGAACATGTCCTATAATTTTATATCTGGACACCTTCACCGGCAGAACGACAAAAAGTACCTGCTCTTATCAAGTTGGTGAAGGGCTCTACTTTAACGACAACGGGGCACTATAGTCACTATAACAAGTGGGGCACTAAGCACTATACTCACTAACCAAATGGATACACATATTTGCCTACATTGACCCCCTATTGGCCTACATGGAGTGTCTGGGAATACAAATGGATTGTCAACGTAATGCCCACATAGGAGCCGTGCGTCAACATCAGTAAACTGGGCTCCCCCACCGATGGCCACTCAGTGGCACCTCAGGAGGTCATATGTGTCACCTTCACGCTGCTTCAAGGTGCGCACGGGTGGAAAGTCAAGTTGGTGAGGGTGAAACTGCAAACCAGGAAAACAGTTGTCATGAAATCTTCATATCGTCTCATCCCTAGTTGTGCAAAAACTAGTGACAAACAAACTGGATCAATGACAGCACATGATGTAATTAGCAAAACACAGGCACACACACACACACACACTGAATGTAAGGATATGCAAGGCTGAAGGAGTACAACAAATTCTGGTGTTAACCGACCAACGTAACCTCCCAGGGCCCCTGCTAGGGACAAAGCTCTTCAACATCATCACAAGGTCCTGCTTGCTCTGGGAATGTGTGGATCAACAAGCAAAAATCAAAGAACAAACATGCTAGTGGATACAAGTTTCCAGCAGGAACATTCTCTCCAAGCATGTGATCGGCTTAAGTTGGGCTTTTGGCCTTCAACTGGAGTTGGATGAGCTTACCTGAACAGCAAGTCCATCCTGGTTCTCATCCCATTCCCCTTTCCTGCTTTTGCCATGCGAATCATCCTGACCAATTCTGTCCCTTCAATAAGGTTCTGCAAATATCCGTGCAACATCAGGCTAGTGTGTTGCACATCCGCATGTTGGAACTCTGTACTTGGGTACTTGCCCACCGGACTCCCAGTCCTTCGATGCGCTGCCATTTCTCACGCCCCTTTTACAGTGGGTCATTCATTTCTGTCGCCCCCAGAAAGGATGGCGATTTTTCCAGTTCAAGCCTCCCAAAGAAGAACAACATAAAACATGGAAACATGTTGAATCTAGAGCATGGCAAATGATGTGGTAAAAAAACAAGTTACAGTAACACTATAGTATTATAGAGAGAGCCTGTTTTCAAAATTTAAACAAACATAAAGTCCAAAAAAAGCCAATCCCAAAAGTCAAAGTAAAAACAATCAAATCAGAAAGTTTCAGAAAGTCAACAAAAAAGTCAATTTGCCCAGATCCGACTTCTTTTTGACTTTGTTTTCAACGTGTTTTCGACTGTTTTGTTGGACGTTTTTCGATCTTTTTGTTTTTTTTGACTTTCTTTTCATCTTTTCGAGTTGTTTTTTGATTTTTTTTTGACTTGTTCGAGCTGTGGTCTATGGTTGACTTTTCTTATTTAATCAAGGATTCTGGCCTTACCATACGACATAATTTTATAACACTAGTAAGAACAAACGCATAAAGATGTATTAAAATCTTAAGAAAAAGGATCAATCAAGGACGATCTGACCTCGGTGTCTTTTACCACTGATCCCAACTCGTCGAGGGGGTTCGGGCCCGGGCCTCCTCCTCCAGCGATGCTTTCCGCGCACGGAGGATCAGCTGACCTCATGTTTGTTCTTGCCGCGCAAAGCTACCAAGCTACAAGGAGCTGAGTGGATCAGCCAAATCCAGTGATCTTTGGTGTGACCTCGTATAGGAAGTGGGAGTGGTGCTGTCGGCTTCGCTGATGTGTTCCTTGGGTCACATCAAAGAACTCTGGTGAAATCTGTTGGTCCGACATGATGCTTCAGGATGATTGCTGATCGAAACTAAGTCTCTAAAGTTGCATTTCCAAAATTAATCTTAGCGATTTCCCTGGTTTTGATGTTGAACTCCACCATGTCTTTGCTCAACTGGTTTTCTTCTCGGCTCGATTCCCTTGAACAATTTAAGGTAATTCAATCTCTGGTGTTCAAGCGCCATCTCTCACACAAAAGTATCTGTCTGGTTCACTACTAAAACTGTGGGAGGCCTCCGCTTTCTTTATCTTTCTTCCTTCACGTCCCCCCTCCATGTCCCCCCTCGCCGCGTTGCGGATGAATCCGTCCATGTCAGCGCATCGCCTGACGTCGATGCGAAGCTGAGTCCCAAAGGGTTGGAGAGTCGGATGTCATGGGGAAACATTCTTCGCAAGCAAAGAATTCCCTTGGGAATCTTAGATAACCCCGAAGAATTCCCTCCATATATGTTATATCTCCCAAGGAGCTGGATGCTGTTCGTGCGGTCAGGGTCATTTGGAGATATTTTGGAGCATAGCATCAAACACACAGGAGAGTTTCGTGCCGCCATTCTCTTGAGAGGCCAGGTGGGACGCATATGTCCGTACCGCTTGTAACCATCTAAGAAGCTACGTTCTATTAGCTACTTGTTTTCTCGCGACCGGCGTTCATGAGTCTTTCACTGGGAGGTTGGCCATTGGGACTGTTGGGACTGTCTATACCATTGATCAGCCGGCCTCTCCAACCAAAGGTATCTCAATAAGGCCTGGAGGGACTCCTGGCGTGGCAAGTGGCACTCCTTTCCGAGCGCGGTTCACGCACGGAGACGTGGTCGATTTTCCCGGGATCCAGCGGGGAACTGATACATGCACACATGACATGATCATGCAATGTATGTTTGATGCTGGGGATAAACAACTATCTATTCCAGCTAAGCTAGTCTAAAATAGTTCAATGATTTATCGTCGTTTGTGAACCCTCATGAGACCTGACTCTCGTTTAAGCCTGAGGCCTGTGGAAAGCGCTGCCTGGCACCGTCCCCGTTCGCTCGAGTTCGCTCACCAGTTCGCTCCCGTTCTTCGCTCTCGTCGAGACCTGAAGGGTCCGGCCAGTGGAAATGAGTGGAACCAATCCCGCTTGGCGTGCAATGGCTAGGTTTGTAGACTCTTGACTAATAAGACTCTTCAGGGCTTGGGAGGTCTACATGAAGAAATCCATCCAGGTCATCAAGCTTGTGATCCTGGGGCATGATGGGAGCATGGCGGGCATGGGAAATCAGCATACCGATCTGGGAGAACCGTCGAGAACAAAGACTTAAACAATGGTCAGGTTCCTTTGGGCAGGGGCAAAACCAAACAAAGCAGACACTTGCAACCTTGAAGACAATTTGGAGGCATCTTTAGATATGTCCAGTTCTACTTGCTTCGCCAGGCCAGGTCATGTGATTGCCCGGCACTGTTACTATCGGTACTCTGTCTTCATGAAATTTGTGGTTTCATCAAATTTTCTAAGATATTTGTTGCCACGGTTTTGCTGGGAGGCACTCCAGGTTTGTTAAAGTTGACTGGCATTTGCAATCTGCGCTGGGAATTTGCCCATGTGAGAGGATACTAATCCAAAGGCCAATGGAAAGCTAGCGGGTGATGGGGTGGGATGGCCATGTTAAAAAGTTTGTGCACTTCTGCCACCGACTGTGGAGTGCGGGATGAAAGCCGGCGCTTCTTGGTTCCCACACAATGACATCCATGCTCCTGTGCCCTTAGCCAAACACAAACGTCCGGCAGGGCATCTTGTCGTTGGCCAGGTGTGATAAGTACATACAGGCTTTCTTTGTACTGGCTATATAATGCTTGTTTCTGAAGGTGTGCGACCAACAATTATGCAAGCTGGTTGGTCTATAGTCTATGCCTGCGCATGACATCTCGCAGCAAAGCACCTCTGCATGAGGTTGAACACTGACCGCCCTGCGCCCGCCCGCCTCCACATCAGGCCTGAGCAACTCCGCGTATCTGTGGCTCCTCACAGTGGAATATGTTTTATCGGGTCTATCCCATGACCAGTAACAGTGGATGATGTAACAGTAGATGATGATGCCTAGTGAAGGGCTTGTTGAACAAATAGTGATAAACCTTTACTATTTACCAACGAATTACAATTAATTACTGGTAATGGGGCAGGCCCCATGACAAAGTTTGACCTAAAAGGGCTTCCCCTCCATCATTGAATCATCTGTTGTCACCGGTGCAAGTTTTTCTCAAAGGGATTCTGCAGTCCGTTTGGAGCTCAGGCTCCAGCAAACGTTCATGTGGCCCGAGCCGTGTCCATGCACCTCTTCGCGTTGTGCGTTATGTGCCGAAGAGTGTCCGTTGGTGTTGGTTCAGCGAAACGGGAAAAGCATCTCACACCAACCGGAAGAGACTCCGACCCTCGGGGTGTGGTTTACACTCTGAGGGGCGCTGCCCGCAAAAAGGGGGACACAATATATATACTGTAACTCCTTTGACACATGAGCAGCGGACAAAGTTATTTGTGTAGCCAAATGCCATTTGACAGTCAATCGTTTTTGGTGGGGTCCATATCGTTCTCCAATGTTACTCCAAACCGTAGTTAGCATAGCATGCTGGCACCTAGACTAAAACACAAAATATAACTCACAACCTCAGATTAGTGGCTTACAGTGCTTCTGCACAGGAATGGCACAGCACTTGATTTATGCACTTGGGTTCTTGTGGTAGTGGGCTGTGCGAGGATCACAACACATAAGCGGGGACCTAGTAGCTCGGCCCATGAACAAACACTTGTAACGTGGAGAAGTAGGTTTGCGGAGTGCCTGGCGTGATATTTAGGTTATCGTTCGCTCATCGTTTGGATTATCGTTTGGGAAGTTGTCTGGGATTATCATTGATGAAAAGTTGTGCCCATTGGTTTAGCTCAAAACATAATGCGAATGCAATAACATATTGCAACCACAAATGTCTTTGTATTTGTACCCACTACATCTTAACAAGATTATCGTTTTTGGTGGGGAATATCGTTTTCCACAGAAACAAAGCCCTCAACATAGGTTTAGGGTCATGCCATCATTAAATGAGTCAACCAATAATTTTGTCCGTCGCTCACATAGCTTCTGTGGAGAATTGTTCAAGCCACCAAGGTTTATTGAGACATGTTTTATATCTGGGAATCTAGGGTGGCACACCTCTCCGTCACCTACATAGGAAAGCCCAAGCCAAAAACAAATCCAAAGGAATATATTGATTGATACTGATCATGATTCTGCATGATCTGTCCAGCTACATGACGGGTCATACGGCGGCCGCAGGTGGGACCCGGACTTCGTAGCGTAGCATGGGCCGTCAACATCTCTCAACTCTGCTAGCTGGCCGAATGGATCCTGAAAAACAAAGAAGATGAACCTCATTGCGCAGGACAATGATTCTTCCACCCCCATTGAATCCTCATTCCACCCTCATTCCACCCACCTGGTTCAAGAGCCGATGACACCTCCGGAGCGCTGGTTCCGCGAGGATCTCCGCGACGCGACGCGGTCAGGATCCGTGACGCGGAGCGCGCTGAGAGGTCTGTGCGTTCGGATTCCGTGCTGGTTCCAAAAAAAGAGAAAGTGGCTGAGTCCAGGACACCCAAAGCTCCAAACCGCGGTGGATCCAGGATTTGGAGGAAGAAGGGCCTTGGAGCAAGCAGAAAAGAGCACACATCAATGAGATCAAAGTGCTGAAGCAGACTGGAACTTATGATCATAAGAGATGATGTTGGAAGCCAAGATATTATACAAAGCACTTCAATTAGCGAGTCAAATAGTCGTGGGCAAACGGCAAGTGTATGAAAGTGGGTGCAAACATCCTTGGGTTGCTGGCTGGTGATGCCTAGCCAAGCCTGCATGGGCGTGACATCACCGACAAACGGCTGCAAATGCTTGGAAGTCCTGGTTCTTGTCCTATCTCTGCATCAACACCAACATGACACATGACACATGCATCGTGAAATACCATGCACTTGACAGAACAAAGGAGTCTGCTCACCGTCCGAGCTTTCGGTGGACGTGCGTGGCAAATCTTCCCTCCGAAAGCCGGCGATGGCTGGACTCATCACTAGCTCCCTCAAGAACTTTGGGTTTGAGAACTCTTTGATTCATTGCACCAAGAAGACTTTCACAAAAACTAAGCATGTTACTGGCTTCTAGCTACTATGCCCTTTGCTACGGCCGTAGCGATGCCGTTACGTTCGTAGCTTCGTCCGACGACGGGTGACCCGCCTCCACCAGAGGCAGCGCCACCAGGTGCGACATGGTCTGGGCGACCAGGTGTGATCCGGGGGAGAAACAACCATACAGATCCATGTAGTAGTTAGTAGACAAACGTTGTGTCTTTTCTTTTTTGAGAAATTAGAGATCCATCTGTGGAATGACATGTAACAACACTGAAATGAGACGAACATTGTACAACTTGTACAACTCAATGTACCATGTACAATAAACGTGCATTGGGCCCACCAAAACTACTGCAGAATCGTGGACCTCGCACTGCAAACAACCCCCATCCCAGATGCCCAGAACAGAATGGATTCGCAACATCTTCGCCTTCAATGAATTATTGTCGCGCTGTGTGATTTTCCCCGTGCATGTCCGTTTTCGCCACTCCCTTGATGCAAACGCCCTCTCAAGAGGGCCCCAAAATGAAGGTCACATGGAAGTGGATGGCATGGACCCGAAAGGAAGGTCGGACCCCGAAATGCACCCCAAAGGATCCCAAAGGGGAGGTGCATTCACTCCACGAAAATCATGTGAGGAAACCACGTGCTAAACCCGAGTCTACTGGTGCTCCGACCAACTGTCAACCTGTGGACGCGGCAACTTGGCTGGCTCCGGTCCCCGGCCTGGTCGCCGGGGAAGAAGGAGGCTGGCAACATCAGCAACCTCATGACTCATGACAGATCGAGCTGAAGATGCTGAACTGGTGTATTGGAGTTCAAGTCCAAGAAGTGGATGATCACAAAATTGGGCGATGAAGATGCGTCCACAAATGTTCACATCATTGACTACCATCCGTGAAGGGAAGCCACCAGCTTCCCCTTCACCTGGCTCCAAACATTCTCTTAGTCTGAATGTTATAAAGTTTAAAGTTATAGTTATAGACAACTAAGAGCCACCCCCCAACCAATCAAGTTATTGTTCTTTTGAATAAGCATGCAAGCACAACAAAGGTTGAACAGCCCTATGGCCGTGGTCTCAAAGACTAATTGGTCCAAGTAGCCCAAAGCGACCTCGTCCTGGTAGGCAGCGTTGGCGTTTTTCAGTCACTTCGGACAGAAATGCCTAAGAAAACTGGTAATTTTTGCGTTTGCTGGCGAGGTTCCCTCTTTTGGAGACGGGGCAAACCTGGGGTCTCCCAGGTCAACCTTACTTACGACCAGGTCGCTCCAGCGTTTGATCCGCCATTTCTGGATCTCTCCTCCATCCGGCAAGCATTGATCTGGAAGCACTGCCACCTGCACCGGGCTCCGTGGCCGCTCGGCTCTGCTCTGCTCCGCACACGCGGAAGCGGCTTCGGGTTCGGCGTCGTTCCTTGCCTGCAGTGGCACCGCCTGGGCGACCGAGTCGTTGGCGCCCACCGACGTCTGAGAGAACGGTGTTTGTCTGGTGAAACGACTCATGTTCAACCGGTGAGACCGGTGAGACGGGGAGCTAAGACTGGATTTCGAGATCTGGACTCAATATTTGCATAGGTAATCACTGATTGCATAGGTAATCATTGTATGTTTTGAGGGTTTGGGATAGAATCTCAAAGTCGCACTTTCTTACTGGAAGGGGTTTACACTCCGTGAATCATTGTGGAAGTGGAACTGGCCCTTTGCATGTTACAAGCAGGTGGTGTCCACTTCCAGTATTTTCCTTAGATTGTAGATAGATTGTTCTGCACTCTAAGAAAGTCCGGGTGCCTTGCCGAGACTTTTGATCTGCTAAGGATCTGATCAAGCAAATAGAACTTTGCTCGACTCTTGGTGCAAAAGCACAGGCTCTGGACAGGACTATGGTAGCTGATACTTCACCATTTGTCCTATTTACAGGTGTTTCTTTATCCACCATGCTCGTATGCCCTCCAAGCCCAAGGAATGATTGTTCATTTGTCCCTCCAAACCATGTGACGTTCGGGGTCCCAAAACCATCTGCCCACCCTGCTGGCTCGGTTTTCCGGCACCTTCGGGACCAAGGTTTCCATGTGAGCAAGGAGAGGTGGCAAAAGAGCCTCCTGAGCGACAGGAAGAAGGTAGACCGGTAGACCATGGATTGTACCCTGATGGCCTTTCACTCAAAATTTCAAAAGTATTCCCAGATTTCCCCACACCTCCTGTCCCACATCCGAAAAGACGGTGCTTGGGGTGAGTTTGGGGGGTTTAAGTACCTTCTGAGGATGTGGTAGGGGGGATTTGGGGTGTCCTGGGGGGACTACGCTTCGTGGGTCCTGGACCCACTGATGACCACTGGGCACCCAAACAGGATCCAGGATGGTCCAGAGTCCAGAATTGCATCGAATTGCATGTCGATCTGAAGAACTATGGGACTTGGCGACCCAGCAGCCCAGCAGAACTCGCATCCGGCGAAGACACGAAACCGTCGGTCGGTCAAGGTATTCAGATGAACCCTTTGTTGTTGTCACGGGACTCTCCTGCTTTTATCTAATGTCTGCTTATTCTGCTTTCTTTGGAAAAGGACGCAGAAAAGCCGGCAAACATGTTTGATGCCCACCTTTGGTCCCAAAAAAGATCTGTCAGAATCCGTCAGCACCTCATAATCGCTTTGTCAATCTTTGCAGCATGGCAACCAAGTCGTTCCACTGATCAATGGTGCTACAATATATTGTACTCAGATATGTGGTCCAAACCTTTGCATCACAAACTTTGCCAGCAATGGGTGAAGACACATGAATACACAATGTTCTCTCTCCATCGCCCTCGGGTGATAGGCGTCAATTCAGCTCTGAGTCTCAACCCCCAACGGCTCCAAATACAGGGCAGAACTGAGCTCCGTGCCAACTCCTGGCAAGCCAGGCAGCTCCGGAGATCGTCTTCGCCCCCCCGAAGCAAATGGGACGGACTTGGCAGGGCAACTTTTGGCACGGACTTATGGCCACTCAGGTCCCCTGAAACGGAGCACCCAGTGAGGACTGGAGCCCAGTTAGGACAATTGAATTGAACATCCTCAGCCATCTCAAGTCTTGATCAGTCGTATTGGCGGTCGGGAGCCGCCAATCTCATAGATCGCCCAACGCTAAAGCAAAGGAGATCTTAAGTGGATTGAGAGTAGATGGCCCCAAAAGGTGGATTGAGGGTAAAAGACATATAGGGGTTTGTGCCATCTACTCTGAAACCACTGTAAGTGGTATGGCGTCCAAAGCACCGCTGCGATCGCCCAAAGCTGGGCCAAGAATCTGAACAAGACCGACCGCTGCGAGGCCCTGATGCCGGACCAGAGGATTGAGACGGGGCTTTTCTCCGTTGGAGACCGGGAAGCAAAGGAAAACGACCCAAACACAAGCAGACGGGTGCTTCATGCGGAATGAGGCCCACTGTAGCCTTAGACTTAGGACCCCTTCCATCTTACATATCCTTACGGACCACCAGCATGGACCAGTGAGAAAGTGCGAGTCATGGCCTCCCCCAGCTTCGGCAGCTCGCCAAAAGGCCTTGGGGAAATCTTCCAGGAACTGTTCCGAGAGAGAGGAGTTCAAATCCACTGCAGAAGTCTTATACCTAAAACACTGGCGGTGAGTGAGATTTAAAAAACCTGCTACAAAATGCTACAAGTAAAAGCATCAAAACCATTGTCCTAAGTATATCGTAGTTGCGAGATCTGAAGCATACACTCCTTGTCGGGTTTTCCTCACATGGTTACGAATCAATGCAACCCTGCTTGGTACTGTATTTGGATAGCAGGGCCATTTAAGGGGCCATGCCATCGTCTTCCTTGATGATTTCGTGTACCTGATCTGACCCTCGGCCACGTTCGCATCACACTCAACCCAGCGACTGTAAGCTGCCATGTTGGATCAATTCTGATAAATGGCCAGCCAAACCCTAACAGCATCCAACACCCAGCTGAGCTGAGATTCTGGCGTCTGGCTTGGCCCGAGCATGCGGCCAAAGCTAGCTCCTCCCGCAACACTGCTTGGTTTGCCAAGAGCCAGAGGTCTCAAGAAAAACAACAGTGCTGAAAGTTGCCGCCAATTGCAGTAGAATCCGCAGAACCACTTTGCGCTCCAAACAAGTCTCATGATGACATCATGAGTGCAAAACCTGTCCATGTACACCACTCTAGCTATGGTACAACAAAGGCACCGACCCTCCATCCACAGCCAGCGCGAAGAGAACTCACCTGGCCACAAGTAGAGGTCACCCATGGCAAAGCTCAGAGACTCCAGCTCGAAGGGCCTCGGATAGGCCGTGCAGCTCTCCCTCCATCCATGTGGAGGAGGAAAGCATTCACTTCTGACCCACAGTCAAATGGCATGGACATGGCGCCCAGTGGCCAGTGCCTGATCCCATTTGCATGAGTGCCATGAGTGCGATGGTATCTCTTTGGAGTGTGCATCTTCTGAATCCGACTGTTTCTGCTGAGACGCCATGGTTCCTCCGTATGGCCATATGAATCATGAATCATCATGAATCTACGTAACCCGTAACTCGTGATGCCATCAGCGGTCATAAAGTGCCAGAAAGTGGCATAGGCATCTCACACCAAGATAGGGTGCTAAAGCAGTGCTAAGATAAACATCTGGATAATTGTAAGATAAGCCAAACTCATATTAATATCTGATAATGATGTCTGATATTATCTGGATAATATCTGAGGGATGATGGACCCAAAACTTAACCCCAAACTGCTGTGGATTGCACTTCCGCACGCCCATCTGTCCCGATGTGGTGGGGACATATCTGGGAGCCCAGCTCAAGGTGGAAGGAAGCTCCATGGTAGCCCTCGATGGCTACTTTGGGCTGGGAATCCTGAAAAGGTGTGAGGAAGAATGCGAGAATCAAGAGAAGGAGAAGAAAGAACACAAAGAAACAAAGAGCAGGAAAAAAAGACCAAACGAAGGAAGAATCAAATGAAAGTAAAGGTGGCTGTGGCGGTAGGATGCGGTAGGAGAGGGAGGGGTCAAAGTTGGTCAAAGGCACAGAAAGCCATCAGAAAGCCTGTTTGTTGAATATGTTTTACCATGGTTGACCAAGCACCATTCATGTCCAGCCCATGTCATTGCCCATGTCGCCTTCTCAAATTCAAGAACACCCTCCAATCTGCTCATGTTGGGGGTCCGAGGGAGGAAGAATCGGTGAGAATCAAGTGGAGAAAGTCTGGGGCACAAAACGGTCCTATTAACAAATCTACACCCGAAACAATCGTGGAAATGGAAGTGGAACAAACTACCTGGCCCAGGCATTCGGAAGTTTGGGTCTTCCCAGGGGCCATGAAACTCATCCATTTTCCACGTCCATGATCAGTTCAGAAAGTTCAGGGAGTGGAACATGTGCCTTGTCCAAACTCAAATGGCAAACAGTTCATCCCCGAACATGCGCGTCGAACCAGTGGAACATAGACCTCCGGCTGGGAGTCTGGCTAAAGGCTGTCTCCCGGAAAATACACTTTTGTAAGCGTGTTAAATAGTTTTCATTTTTTTTTCAACTTGTTGTTTAGTGGGGAACCAATCTCCCAAAAAGGTTATCCTCCCTCCAACGCACATGGAAATGGACAACCCCCTCTTGTAAAGGAACGTCGTCTTTAACAGTTGTCATTGTCCACTTCCATCATGATTGTTGGAGGGAGCGTGCAGGTTCTCCACTGATTGGAATGGGTTGCACGCCATCCTATTCACCCCTAGATTTGGGCACCACTGGCCACCTCGTCCGAGCAAAGCTTGGCAGGTGTTCCACTTTTCCTGGAAGATTTGAGAAGCAGAAACCACATCGGTCAGAACTCACAGAACCAGCTCTTTAGTTGGATAGATCTTGTAGGTATGTCCATTGGGTCTATCCTAATACTGTACCTGTAACAGTGGTTGGTGATGGTTATATAGTAAAGGCATTTTTCAAAAATAGTGATAGTTGTTTACTGACTGTTACAGGTAATAGGACAAACCCAATATATCCATGTGATTCCATGTGTATATATATATAACTATATATATATATACACCATTCCCAGTAGCAGTGGATGATGACGGTTAGGTTGGAGCCCTAAAAACATCTCAAACATCGTGATCACCTTGGACCGACGGCCGCAGGTGTGCTGGACTTTACTGCTACACCCTTGATGACTCTTGAGGACCATCAACCCCCCCAGATTTGGTGCTCTGCCCGTGGCCACGCAGTGGAACGCTGCTGGCCGTGTCACACTCGATCGTGTGCGCGAGAGGCAGAAGAGGATTTCCAATTATATAGATAGATCATTAAGAGTCTAAATTATATAGATAGATCATCTGATAGATCAGATCCCAGCATGGATCCACTTGATCCCTCGCTGCCACTCTGAGGCTCCCCGCTGCCCACTGCCCCGACGCCACCGCCATCATCCCACGAGGCACCTGGGATCGGTGCCCCTCCAAGGGAGTGAACACTTAGCGCTAGGCACCCCCCCCGACCGGATGGCTCGCAGTGGCGGCTTCCGGCCCGGGTTCCGAACCCACAGGGTCAAAGAACAGGACGAAAGGCCAGAGAGGCCTGCGGGCGAAAGGCATGGTGATGGCTTTTGATATGTATTTGTTCCTATGTGTTTTTTGTCATAGTGAAGGCATGTGTTTTTGTCGTATTGCATGGTCTAATTAGTCTATGTGAAAAACCGAATCCACATCATAGGCGGGCTTATTCGAGTCAACATGAATACCCACACTCCAACAAGCATTTTGCTGGTACCTATTTGCATTCTTGGGACAGTGACTCGGGCCCTGATACATTGGCAAAACACAAAACTGGTATAAGCATGCCTTTCCGTAATGCTTTCGGTCATGTTTGGTCAGTGATTTAATATGTATACAGTTATACAGGTCAAGAAATCACACAAACTAGACACTGGTCGATATATATAGACTGTAGATTCAAGAAAACGGCTGACTAATGGTCAGCGTCACCACAACCCATTTATCTGGCCACTCCGCTGCTTCCAAAAAAGGCAAGAAAAACACTTCGCGCCGCCTTGCGTGCACGCCGCGCATGTTTTGACCAAGAACGCTTGGTAAACCTCGTGAATACGGCGGAGGACCACTTTGAGCGGAATCTCAAAGGACCTTTCTCGAAAGTTATCCACTTCAAAAGGATCCGCCAAGGCCGTCGCGTTGCCTGAGGCCGACGCGCTCTCTCTCCCTCTTTCCCTCTCTCCCTCTCTCTCTCTCCCTCCCCTCCCTCCCTCCCTCCCTCCACATTGCCAGTCGAGTTTTCCATCACTGGCGTGCCAGGTATGAAAGACAAATGTTTGAGTCCAAGCCTTCTAGCCGAGCTATCAGGCTTAGGCTTCCAATCAAGATAGATCATCCGACTAACATTGACAGTCTCAATGAGAACAAGTCTCTGGTCGTTGGTCTTCCTGATCAGCGAGTCGTTGGTCCCGACACTCCCTCCCTTCGTCCGGTGTTGTTACAAGTTTTCGTTTCGTCTCGTCCACCGGGTGATGCCAAACACGGGTGGCCTCGGAGGCAAATGTGATGCTGTCCCACAGTGTGTGCCAGGCCCCCATAGATGCCGTGTCGGAGATTCCGTGGATGGTCCCAGGTCTCAATGCAAGCGATGTAGCCAGGCAAGGTGGGCGGCATCAATTCCGTGACGGCAGAACCTGCACCCCAACCAGGATCCGGATCAAAGTTGTTTTGGAATGGCAACTATCTGCCTGTCAGGGAGAGGGTATCAAAGTATCAAGATGTATCAAAGATTTTTTCCCAATCTGCTCTAACAAATATCTGGAATACCACATGTTCGGTTGGCAATGGGTTGAATTAGTTGCTCTTGAAGGACCAAAGTCAGTGTAAACTTGTGAAAACGTGTGAAAGCATGGCCTAGCCCAACCTCGGTTCCCAACTGCAGTTAGAACTGTCCATGAGCCTATAATTCTATATAGACTATAGAGATGTCCAGAATGCTAAAGGGACCAAAGGGAACTTGGACCTCTACATTGTAACATGAGAGTTTGGGTCAAAACGGAGCGGGCAGGACCGAAAGCTAAGTTTGGTGGCTCAAACGTGGCCCCAACATGGGGATTTCCGCAGTCATCCGGTCATCCTACCTCACGAGATGATGCTCATCTAAATGTCCCTCAAATCACCAGGCTGTGCTAGTGACTCGTGTGACCAACCTGGGTGCATCGCCACCATCCACGCCAAGCCGGCACCGTGCGCACCCACCAGCACATCTGCCTCCACAGCTGCATCAGGTGGAACTCAGGGAAAATCGATTGATTTTTTTCAAAGCCAAGGCACGAGGAAGGTCCGATGGAACATGGAACTTAGTGAAAAGGAAGAGAAAAGACTTTACACCTTCCTGACCGACTGCCCGCTTGGCACCTTCGATGTCGGAAAAGAAACATACCAGGCTGATCCAGCAAACTGACGGTGAAGTGAATAAAAAGGGACAGGCACTAAGGTGAAACAAAATAACAAATGAACGCCGAGAAAGGCAAGCGGGAGAGTCCTCAGGCATGTAAATTGTAGCGGATAATAACGAAGGCCACTCACAAAGTGGCAAGAGCAAGCTAAAACAATCGATTTCTGGCATCTTGCAAAAGTTGGCATTGTTGTTCCGGGGTATTGGTGTAAGCGCTTTCGTGATTTTTCTTCCAGCAAAGATCTAAAGAGGTCACCAACCAATTCTTTCTGGGTCGCCCCGGTCTTCTGAAGAGAGGCGTATATGGGACAGCACTGTCCCTACGAAAACTTACCTGTCTCATGGGGTCGCGATTGTCAGTTCTCAAAACGTGTCCAGTGATATAGTTTAACCCTTTTTTCATGCAAACACTTTTCGATGCACCAAGTTAACTTGGGAGAGGGGTTATCTCTGGATGCAGTGGCTGCATTAGCCCTGCGGTAGACTTCGGCGTTCGTACTTCTACGGTCGATGCACGTGGTGTGCATTTTCAGGATCTTTCGAAGGCCACGTAGTTGGAAATTTTCGAGTCTAGAAAGCAAGGACTGTGTCAACTCCACCGTTTCAAGTCCATATATAAAAGCTTTGAACGGATCATGCTATTGTAGACAAAAAGCTTCCACCTGACAGGACAGCTTGCGGTTTTGAAAAGCATGTGCATGCGTTTCCAAACGGCCATAGTTGCAGAAATCCTGCTTTCAACTTCAGCTCGATTATCTACATGTCGTGTGAGGGAGTGTGAGGAGCCCCCCGAGGTATGAGACCATGACATGATCTTCATGTGGCATACGGGTTCCGTCCCTAATCGATTGAATAGATTCTAATAACTATGTCACTAATAATGAGTGGGGGTCCCCTTCTTGTGATCTGTCGGTTCAACAATCTAAAGGACAAAAGTCTCTGGTAGTACTTGTCTACATAACAAAGTTGGAGATGGTTAGGGAGAAGGCACCAGTGGAATGATCCACCAAATAAGGCCCAACATGCGTGCAGGTTGGGTGCATGCCGGAATCCGGGGGCGTTCTGGGAGAACCATCGAACGACTTGAAGCAACTTGAACAGCAAAAGACTTGCAGCTTTGCAAAGCTGGATTCGGGTGAATTTTTGGAACCTTTCAAAAGGGGGGATATTACTTGTATATACTCAAGGGATCTTTAGGATCCTAGCCCCTTTGGTTTGAGACTATTTTGGTGTACGCGCGGCTATCTTCTCTTTTGGTGGCCGAGTGTGAATTCAACTTTTGACCCTGCCCTGCCAGAAACAGCTTGCCGAAATTACTTGTTTCACTGTGATATAGGTACTTCAGAGCGAGTGCACACAGAACAGAGCTAGGATTTTCCAACGAGACCAGGGGGCTTGGCACAAGAGAGACCTGGAGGAGCCAACCCCCCACCTGCAACACTGGCCCAACATCACTCCACTCGACCTCCAACATGTCTAGAGTCTGTAGGTTTTTTCTTCTCAAGACCCAAAGAGGCTCCAGTTCTCATCACCACTCACCACCCGCTGGATTTTTGATCCAATCCAATCCACTTGTCACTCTTTCTCGGAGAAACTCGTTCTCCAGTTCTCGATTTCTCGAGTTTCAGAGCGAGCACCGTGTGCGGGAGCCACGGCACACTACGAGTAACGCACCTGGGAGGCTAAGGAGAACTGCTCCAGCAACGAAAGGCTCTCCAAGGCTCGGCCCTCCACCACCCAGCGGCTCCTGGATCTCCTGCGGAGACTGGCCATGAACGGCAGTGGGAGGCGGGAGGTGCCGGCCCGGTGGGAGAAAGGAGAACTGGCCATGGATGAACGGGAGGTGCCTCAGGGAGATGTGCCTAGATACCTGAAGCAACATGAAGCTCTGTTCAACCAAACAGAAGGGGGAATGAGGTTGCGAGTAAGACAAAGTGTGGGACTCTCTCTCACTCACTCACTCACTCACTCTCTCTCTCTCTCTCACTCTCTCTCTCTCTCTTTCTCTCTATCTTTTTCTCTCGTCATCGCCCTCTCAGGTGAGTTCTCACGATAAGGTGGAAGAGGGAGTTTCAGGCTTCAACAAATCCCAAAAGATCGGCATGTTTGGGAACCAAGGTAATTCTATGCAGCTCCAGAATGTTCTGAACCTCTAAGACTTACAGTACTCTAAGAGGTTCATCAGTTGTTAGTTCATGGTCGTAGCATGCAAAGATGTCTCAGCGGCATCAGCGGATCATTACGTCTGCACAAACACCCACATAAGCACCGAAACAAGCTCCCTGCTCATGTCTGCTGGACCATGTCTGCTGGAATCCTCTTCAGAACACTTTCCTACACAGGAGAGCATCCTCCACAACTCTTCGAGAACATTGTGTCCAAACTGCCATGAACTGCCCACCATTAAACAAACACCAAACAGTGCAGAAGCAGCGAAGCTGTGGTGCTTTACCGCAGCGCAGCTGTGGTGCAGAAGCTGCTGGAGGCCTCGCTCCTCAAGGAGGCCTCCAGCTGCCCGAGGTTGCTGATGTGCCGCGGCTGGCCCTTGGCCCTGCGAATCATCAGCACCAGCCTCTGCGTTGATGCCCTGCGTGGCTTAGCCCCATGGCCTCCCTCGGCCGCCCGTGCGAGCGCCCGCCGGAAGAGGGCCACCTCCTGCTGGCCCATCTGTGGGTCCTCCAATGTGGTCGTTTGAATGAGCTTATTTACATGCGGGTTTGCCTAAGTTACGTTGACCTCCAAGGGGTGCCCAAAGCTCTTGGCCCTTGGCTCAAATCGCAAGTGCTGTTCTTTTTGAAAGCTTGTCAAAAAATATCAAACATGTTATATTCGGGATTTTAGCCAAGAGAGAGTTAAATACCATTGACTTCAGCTCATGGTATATAAACACCATTTTGACCAGACGTCTGTCCTTCATGTCGTAGCGAAAGGAACGAAAGCCCACGGTGCCTCGCTGGAAGCAGGTCTCGTCCCGTGAATGAGCCAGAAACGTCACAGGATGAGGCGTCAAGGCCTTGCCGCGTTTCTGAGGCGACAACAGTAAACCACAGGGGGCCGCAATGAGTGGCCCCCAAAATAGAGAGGATCGCACGGAACTTCCTGTCTACCAATATTAGTGGGGATCATGGAGATAGTGGCACGGTGTTCCTGTCGAAAATAACATGTATATATATATATATATGCGGGGATATTAGTGGGGACCTGTAAGGTTCTAATCTTTTCTATCTATTTCGGGGTCTAGATAGTGTTCCAAACGCCTGTTCGTTCCTGCGCTCAATCAGCAACTCCCAAAAGCCCACAAAGGGCACATCTAGCCCATCAGAGGGGCCATCACATCCATAACCCATCCTAACCCCATGCATTCTCCGGATCTGCGGTCTGAAGCACCTGTAAGATGGACTGGTGGAAGCCCAGGAACTTGAGCACATCCTCCCCCTCAGGCCTCACGCCGCAACGCCAACCCCACGCAAGCCAGCTTGCCGAACCGTGCGGTAGCCCCAAATGGATGTTTGTCCGCGTCGGGGGAAAGCTCTGGCGGTGGAGGTGGCCAGCTGCTTGGAACACCCAAAACAATCTCGGAAGAAATCGACCGACGCCCAATCTATCCCAGACATGACCCATGAGACTGCCATATATGCCGCCCCATTGACCCCCAAAACCACCGCAATGTAGATGAATATACCATACATGGAGTGTCTGGGTATGAGTTGATTGCCACCCCAGCGCAGCCCAGCACTTGAAACTGTGAGCGTGTGATGAAACTGTGAGCGTGTGAACACAAACTTCAGAAACGGTCCGTCGCAGACTGTCACAGAACTTTGCTGTTTTGGTTTTGGAGGATATGCTTTTTCTGCGTATCGCTTGACGGAATTTCACCATGAGGGAAAGCGCCCCTCCGGAGGGAACAGACAAGTCGGTTCACCTTGTTCCACCTGTCGGATTTGAGTAATTAAAGAAACCTAAATTTCCCCAACAAAAGCTTAAAAGAACTTAAGGATGTTAAAGGAACCATCCCTTTAGATTCAGATTTGAGTAGAGGAACTTAAAAGATCGTAAAGGTTCTCCACTGGAGTAGGGAATCGAATCCTTTCTGCCTCTGCTCTGCTGCTTGCCTGTCCACAGTCCAGCTCGCTGGTGCCAGGCGCCGGGGGCTATCGAAGACCAGGGTGAGATGGAGCTCTGGACCCCAGGACATCTCCTTCGAAGCCAGGCCATGCGCAAAGCAGGAAGATCCAGGAAGCCTCTTCTGGAGACGTTTTTCACACGATCACGGCATTGTAGTGAAAAGAGCCACCGGTGGGGGCCCCCCCCAAAACAGCACACACGCAGGAAAACCTTGCTGCTTTGGCTTTGAAGTTTGGATCAGTTTGGGTTGGTTGGTGGGTGGGGCTCAGGCTGCTGGGTGGCTGCTGGGTCTCGGGTTTAACCCAACCCATCACCACTCACAGCAAAATCACGAATGAGCAACCTGCTCTCAACCATGGACACCACATGCGATCCTTACGTGCTCAATTAGCAAGCCCAAGCCCAAGCAAATCAATTGCAGTGCTTGAACCCCAGCCTCACACATTCTCAAAACAGTTTCTCTACCAACGCTTGGAACAACCATGCACTTCCCTTATTCTTCTGTCTTCTTCACACGTTCGCCTCACAACCCCCTCGGTCCGGACCTCCTTGAGCGCCAGGGCAGGGATCCACCAGTGGAGTGCGTGCCACACGTTGGCGTAGGGCGTCCCCACAGGCACCAAAAAGACCTCAAAGGCCGGCTGCTGGTGGAAGTGGAAGTCCCTTCTTGACAGAAATGTATGGGACAAAATGCAGAAATTATGCAGACTTGCTGCCTAAATTGAAGCCACCTCCCCCCCCCCAAAAAACATTGCAAACACATGCTGGCGGATTGGACAGTCTCCCCAAACTTCGGCCACAAATCACATCATCACATCAGCTATCAGTTTTATTTATTTGGTTTTCACGGGATGAAAAGCCTCTTGGCTCGGATGAAACCGGAACATCCGAACACTCCGCTGTCGTAGGCTCCGTCGGCACCAGCTCCGCGTCCGAGGTCGAGCTCCAGGTGCGCCGCGAGATCCATTGGTTCCAGTCGATCTCTTGGACCAAGGATTCTCCATCTAAAGCCCCAAACTCCGTACACAAGGCCGCCCTTACAGCGCTTCCAAACCTCGATTTTTGGGCAAGACGACCGGCAAGCAGGGTGAAACTGAATGATACAGCGCTTCCAAACCTCGATCTCTTTGGGACGCAAGACTACTGGCAAGCAGTTGCAGGGTGAACCTGATGAGACATGCCGCTGGTCCAGGGAACAGCTACAAATACACCAAATACTGTAGCTTTGCAGAGTGGCATCAGTAGTGATATTTGCTAGATTTTTCTGGGTTTGGGGTGGATTAGTGACTGAATCCTGTCACCGAAGACCGCACACCGTGCTGGGTTACGGTTTCCTTTGGCATCTCCCGACCTCGACGACACACCAGTCCAAGGCCGAGATTGTCCATCGCCCATGGACTCAAAAAGTGAAATCTCTGCTTGCAAGTGGGAGACCATTGAGGAACAAGAATCTTTCCAGCGTTCAAACCTGGGCGGCCCGAGTTCTGGGCACCAAGCCATTGCCCTTCTGGACTAAAGATATAGAGGGGTCGATTTGGGACCATATACCTATATATGTTTACCTAGTGGTTGTTCACTTGGGGGTATTCACCCGATTCATCAATAACCAACAAGGGCAAAACAAACCATCTATTATTTTAGACACTCCTCGCGACATGTATCGTTCATGTATTGAATATTACATACAATTGGCAAAAAAACAAACAATTTGTTGGTCAATTCATGTGAATGAACAACATATTGCAACATGCCATCAATCTCGGGGTTGGTCCAACCTCCCCATGCCCATACTCGAAACCTGACTGTAAACATCCAGGCAATAATATATATAATACATCATTCAATTGTCACACTATGTCACACTCAAGATTCTTCAAAATCACCAGTTTCTTGTGACTTCAGGGCTTTACCCGCAATAAATCCTCTTCAATCTGTCTTGTTCCAAGCCACACACCCCCTGCTTCAGCCGTGCCGGCCCAAAACACTGGGCGCGCCGTGTCAGGTGCCGTGGCAGCAGTGCCGTGCCTTCTGGGCGACGCCAGGCGAGGAGCTGCACTGCGGCAGGTGCATCCAAACTCGAACGGAGAGACAGGACGTGCCGGTACCCTGGATTTTTCCCACCGAACATGAACGGAATGGACCACAGCCTTCTGGGTTCAAGACCCTAGGGCTCACGCCTCACGGGGGCCGGGGCTCTTTTGCAGGTCTCGCGACCTGGGAGAGCGTCCAAAGAGCCTGCTTCTCCTGTAGGCACCTTCATCCTTGGTTCCTAGGTGTGGTGATTTTCCTAGCGCTTTTGCCATGGATTCCAGCTGCATTTTGGATCTCTTGGATGAACCCTGGCGCTCCCGCGCTCGCACGATCTTTTGTGGATTGGATGGTGGTCCCTCGCTGGACTGGGAGGATTGCAAAATCCTCTGCGGCACCTTCTGGAGCCGGGTGGATGATTGCTTTGAAGCATCTCTGTTCCCCTTTGTTAAGGGGCATGGTTTTCGTATGGATGGGCCTGCCCTTGATACCAAGGTGGTGATCCACGACTCAGCCAGGAGATCGCTTAGCATTGCTTCCGGAGAGTGCTGCATCTTTGCTGGACCGCTTGCTCGCCTTGAGGACGGGACCTGGAAAGGGGAAAACTCGGTCACGATTCTCAGGAGGACCTCGGCCGTCGAACATGATGCCATTGAATGCCTGCATTTGTTCGCTGGGGCATTTTCAGGGTGGAGTCAAGCGACCTCCACTATTCCATGGATTCTGCCTCAGACTACGATTGGCACCCAGGTTTTCGTCGACCTCGACTGTGATGTGATTGCAGCTTTGTCCATGAAACTTGGAATCAAACCTGTCCAAGCGCCTTTGACTGCCACCCAGGCCTTCGAGATCACTCTAAACAGGGTCATCCAGGGGGATGTTGCTGATCCTACCATTCTGCATTGTGTTCAACCACTTTCCAATTTGGTTTTCTCAGCCTCCCCGCCATGTGTATCCTGGAGCAAAGGCGGTTTCGGCCGTGGGCTCAACTGCCCAGATGGATGGGCAATCGTAGAAGCGATCAAGCAGTGTGCGATCGGCCAACCTGTCCTTGTGATGTTCGAATGTGTCGATGCCTTGGCACAGCACTCCCATTTCAAGATCATCACCTCGATGCTTCGCGATTTAGGATATGTAGGAATTTGGGAGGATGTCGTTCATTATCATGCATTTGTCCACATGCACCGCTCCAGGTGGCTGGCATGCTTCGTTCGACATGACATTGTCCATCATGGTCCCAAACCGGTGCCGTGTCTCAAGTCTGCCTTGCCAGAACGATGGACTTCGGAATCTTTTCGATTTCAGCTCCCTTGATCGTTGTCGGATCAAATTGCCATCCCGTCTCAGGTCCAGTCTGCCTATGCACAGCACTCGTTTCTACCATCAGCCAAGAGAGCCAAATTTGACCCTGCCGCTCCAGCTGAGGTCATCCTACGTGCAAGATTCCTGCAGCCTCATGAGCCGGTGCCTACGGTGTGCGCTGCCTATGGGTTTCAACATCTTCTCCCTCGACACCTCCTCGAGCAGAAAGGCATCTTCGCCACACTCAAAGATGGTGATGCAGGACCTGAATTCCTTGATCCGGCACTTCTTGCTGCGATGCTCGGCCTCTTCGAACCAACAGTATTGTCGAATCAGCTGCAACTCCTCTATCGCCAGATTGGGAATTCTATTGCGACACCCCATGCTCTTCTGGCGCTACTCGCTGGACTAGACTACCTCTTTCAATGGGGTCTGGATGTCAACGGAGCAATCAACAAGGTCTGGCAAAGGCGAATTGTTGGACAGAAGGCGATCATCATTGAACAACGAGACTTCTACATCCTTGCTGGCCTCGATTCCATCATTGAGCAAATCACTGTCCGCAGTGACCTTGTGACAAATGACTCTCACGTCACATTACACTGCCGGCATGTCAATGGCAGGATCGCCTATCTCATTGTCAAGCTGGCACGGACTGTCTCCGACCTCCTCAAGTGCTTTACTTGGAAGTTTGACATCTCAGCCCATGTCTACATTGCAGCCACAGGAGAGAGGCTCGTTCCATCCCAGACTGTTGGCCAGATCTTCGAGCAATACCATGAATGGACCCTCTTTGTCCGTACTTTTCCGATTGCCAGCCTGTCAATCTGCAAGGACTATGTCACCTGTGCGCCGACTCAAGATTGGCATGGGCCTCAACCTCTTTGTGACGCCATTCATGACCAGCCTTCTGATCCTTTCCGTCTCAAGCTCGTTGGAGATGATGACCTCTTCGCCGATACTCAGTTTCAGTTTGCCCTCTCCCTCCTTGAGAGCAACTGTATTGAAGTCTCTTCATTGAGCGGTCACTTTTGGAACTACCCCGTGTACTCTCACCTTCAACGGCTTTGGTGACTCAGAAGCTCGACTACGCTGCATTCGTGAGTTATGGGATCATCTTGATCAGGACACTCAGCATTTCGCTTTCAAGATTTGCGACCATGGTGATTTGTCTCGACTTCCACCGCATGGGGTCGTCTTTCCCAAATTCACGGAAGACAGATTGGTGCTGCTTCAGTTCGGGCCTCAGGATACCACGTGCGGCTTCTTCATTCCAACAAGGCTTGAGTGTCCTCTCTTCGAGATTGGCCCCTACCGTTACCGGCTTATGTTCAAGAATGGAAGTGACCCTGGTCCACCACCCTTCCACTTCGACCACGGTGACTTCTTACACCTTACTTTGCAGAATGACATTCACTGTGGAGGACATCATGGAACTCGGTCCACTACTATCCCGGCTGGGGCAAATCTTCTGCAAAGAGCCGAATTTGCCAGCAACACTGGTGGCTGGCTTGCATCTGATGAGATGGCTTTCTTCCTGCGGCAACTGACATGGCTTGCACCTGAGTTTGCCATTTTCCATCCTGCCATTCGTTGGAATCTGGAGACGGCCAACCTTGATGCGAATGACTACCAGGAGATTCTCATTGCCAATAACAGGCTCAACATCCTTCCGATCCTCTCTGGTTCGCACTGGCTAGCCTTTGAGATCCAGCGAGAAGGGGCCAACACCCATGTCACCTTCGTTGGTCTCCCTGGGCCTTTGCTCAGAAGTGGTTTGCAAGTTGTTGCTGAACTCCTCGACATCACGCCCGAGCTACTACATCGGTGGGCCACGGCTGCAGGGATGCTGGACCACATGCCGCTCAATGGTGACCTTATGCCACTACCTCCATCGCTGCACGTGCTATCATTGACGATGTTATCGAAGACTCTATTGAGGACTGGAACCAGCATGGCATCCCATATGGGCTTTGGTTCTTTGCAGCCACTCTGCGTCGTGCTTTCTTCAGCTTCCTGGCTACCACTACTTTGAGGGGCAATGCAGTGTTGCAGGAGGCTATCACTGTTGTCTTTGATGATCTTGCTGCCGGTCCTCAGCCTGAGGAGACACCAGCTATCCACATCGATAGCCCAGATAGCCACATGCACCATCGCATTCAGCACTTCAACTCGTACCCGGGCTGGCTTGGATCAGATGAGCTGGATTTTGTCCTTCAAGCGATTCGTTTTCAGCGACCTCAATTCTGCTTCATGCCGCCGGCAAGATGGGACGCAGCCTCTGGAAACCTCTTCTACTTCGATGACCAACGACGAGATTTCAGAGCTTATCAGCATGTCACGTGGTTCATTCTCATTGAGCAGTGCTGGACTCAGATCGATGCACATGCTACCGCTGCGACTATGACTCTGTTCATGAGTTTGCCGGATGCACTTGCTCACCATGCTGGCCCTCTTGCCACCTTTATCATGTCGCAAATTGACGAAGCTCAGCTTACTTGCCAAGTACATATTGTGCGCTGCAACCCCGAGCCGAACATGTGTGGATGGGTTCTCCTCCACTCCTTGTGTGAGCGCCTTCGTATTGCAGTACCACCACTTGCAAATGAGGTGCAGCAAACCATCAACCTGTCACGATTTCGGGTGCAGATTCGAAGCACTATTGAACGGGCTCGCCTGGTTTGGAATTTGTCCTCTTCGTTTCCTCGGATCACCAACTTTGCCAGTCTTGTGCGCACCAACTTCCTCCACTACCTCCTTGCCAACAGAGGAGCTCTCCAATATGCTGCAGGAGGTGGAACTGAAAAGACCACGCCCCTTGCAATGCTGCTGCAGGGTCTGAGAAAATTGATCAGCTTCAAATCAATGACCCATGGGCCTCCAAGCCTGCCAAGCCCAAAAACTCTCGGAAGCTTTTTCAGACACGATGGGAAGACCTCACCATCCCTGCGGATCACCCGCTACTTGATGAGAAGGGAATCCCTGTACCACAGGTTCATCGGCTGCAGGCCAGTGCCAAGAAAGCGGGAGCAGTTTTGGCTACGAAGTCAGCTATCCAGGAACTCACGAGAATCACTCCGTGTGCGACAATGTTGGTCATCCTTCCTGGCAATGACAAGAACCAATACAGTGAGCTCGGGCTCAAAGTCATTGGCCCCTACGAACTCGTCCTTGAAGATGCCCAAGCCTAAACGGCCTACAAGCGGCTAGTCATTCTCTGGCAACTGCATGGTGCTGTTACCTACAAGCTTCCTGACCCCAAGGTCCAACTCACAGCCGCTGAAGTTGCAGAACTTGTCATGGATGCCGACTCCAGGCTTATCGGCCCTCAGCTCACTGAACAAGCTCAACAGCAGCAGATCCTCTTCCTCAAGCACCACTTTGCACAAATCCACCCGGATTGCTGCGACAAAGCCAACATGTATGCTTTTCGCATTGGCAGACATCCCTCAGCCGGCAAAGATGACAAGAACTTCCAATGCATCATCAAGCTTCCGGTTGCCTCTCGTCCCAATGTCCTCAGATCCAGCGGATCGGCCAACTTCCTCTTTCGAGACTACCTGACCACAGCTGATGATTTTGATGACATCACGGTATTGCCCAGGTTCTGGGATCCGCAGCCAACTTCTGTCCATGAGGTTCTCATCATGACCAAGGGCATTGGAGGATTCGCTGGACTTTGCCTGACCAGACGTGGGCTGGCCGCCCGTGCGTGGACATCCAAGGTCGCTGAAATGCGCAAAGC